TTCAACAGTGATCGTCACTGAGTTCACCTTGTCATAATAAAGTATAAGGTGCAAAAACAGAGATAGGAAACTACATTGAAAAATGCCATTAAATTAATTGCTGTTATATCCCAGGTACTACTTCTGGGCAGATTTGGTTGAACTGTTAAAAGTATGGATATAGGAAAAACAGAGAAAAACCTGAGACAGCTGACAGGAATAACCAGAGGCATGGAAAGCCAGCTCTGTATGGAACCTGAGATTGAGATTTAGTTTACAGTCCAGATTAATAAATGCTGCCTGGTATGAATATATAAAATAATTATTATTTCAGGCATTTCTTTAGAGCCTGGGGGTTATGAATAAAGCTAGGCACAAAGGGTCTTTCCTAGCCTATAAGAATTCTGGAGATTTCAGAAAGGTCTTGTTAGTATTAGGACAAATCCTTTCAGTATTTCCACAAAAGCATAGATACCCAACCTATTACAGACAATAGTCCAGTGGTAATGACAGTTGCCTTGGATGCATTAGATATTCAACTAGGTTTAAGTCTCTATTCATCTGGATTCAGAAAAGGAAATTGAACCAAAGTCGCCTGTCTTAAAGGATAATGCCCTAACTATTAGGCCCTGGGCATTGTAATGCAGATTTCTCTCAAGGTTTCTTGTTGAGCAGTTGCATTTAAAAAAAAAATAGTTATTTGCTATTTGAAATTAAAGCTTCCTAAAGGAAGTTTCTTTAATTTACCTCTTATATGTGAGAGGTTTCAGGTTTGATAAAACAGTAATTTCTATCAAAAATTCTGTTAATTTGAAAAATTCCTTAGCAGCTTCAGTATTTTCAAGAGCAAAGGCAAATAAGTTTCTGACATTTGTAAAGGGTCTTTTTTTTTCCTTTGTGGCAACACTAAAGAGGGGACAGTGAAACCAGGACATTCAATCTTTTCCTGTTCAAGATAGCAGGTGATATAAGACTGGGGAATCATTGCTACTAATCATCTATCAACAAACCTCTCATAAAATAAAAATAACAAAATACCCAATAAAATGAAAACAGTTTTCATTTGAAATTGATCAATAATACAATTTGAAATTGTATTTTTTTTTTATTGCTAACTGATAATGTAGTTGACAATTTTTATACCTAAGAGGATAAGGCCTTTAATCAGAGCTTTAACTAACATATGAGTCATCTTTACTGTGATTTCTTTTTACCCTTCCTATCCATAATCTTGAAAATTAAATACTAATTTTCATGTGATTTGAACCACGACTCTGTTCTTCATTTCTATAGCTCATCTTACATTTGCCTATTACCTGACTCTATCAAGATGCTTACTGATCACAACTTTTAATTATTATAACTGCCTTATGCAGGGCTTCCCAAATTACACCAATTCAAATCAACTAGAATCATGTAATATAGTTTATCCATAGTTATACAAAATTTATTACTTCCGGAAGACCTCTACTCACCTCCAAAATATACCACTCTATCATCTCATAGCTTTTAAAAATTTTTCTTTCTATAGAAATGTTTCTGCTTCTTCTGCTCTCCTACTCAATTTTCTGATTCCAGTTTTCTTTAGTCCTCTCTATCCTTCTCTGTCATTTGATGGGTCATCACAGTGTTTTTTTAGTTATTTATCCCAAATTCGTAACACCAATATCTAAGCACCCCCTTTAACTTTACTGTCAGTCCTCCAAACCAATCAAATCAACACTGTGCCAAAGAGGTAAGCAATTCCCTACGCTGGTAGGTCCCCACGCACACAAAATCATGACTATGATGTTGACTTACAATATTTATCAATTAACTTCTGCTCACTGTGAAAGAAGAGATAGCATTAAACTGTGCAAATGGTAGCCCTTCTAAAGACAGATTCTGAGACAGTGCAAGTCCTGTGTGTGGAAACATAAATGCTGCCAAATGAACTTCACATAAATCTACTCAGTCAATAATCAGGATAGGGATTGCATCCTTCTTACTTCTGCTGAGTGTTATCCTACTATATAAAAAGCTTCACTGCAATGAAAATAGACACTAGTGAGGCAGAAACAGACTTGTCTTTAAAACCAACAGCCTGTCATGAATGTAAGTTTCTATTCTCTCCTCCACCACCCCCAATTTACCATATTACAAAGCAGCAATAGTTCACATTTGGATGCCAAACTAGGTGATATATCCATTGCCAGAAAAGTAATGTGTTATTAATCACATTATTCCTCCAGTGTTTTAAACAGGTAAAAACAATAATAAAAGAACTGCCAAGGAAATCCACAGTTCTAATTTTATACTGTCTGTAGCTCTTCAGACTAAAAATAATTCACAGATGTCATTTTCAAAATTAACGTTTCTATTAAAAAGAAAACAAAACTCATCCTAGTTGATCTTAGATATTGACTTACTCACCAGAATAATTCCACCAAGGCAGATAAATGCATTTGCACAAATAAGGACCTGCACTGCAGGACTTAATAAAAATATACATATTGAAAAAGATAAAATGATAGCATAGGAATTAAGTCAGAAATTTTGACAAACATTTGTTTTATGACCCCAATGCAGTTAATTTAGTTGAGTATTCCTGAGTTCAGTTCTAATACATACTGCTCTACAGAACTGCCTGAAAAGCATTAACACATCTAAAGCAATTTCACTTTTTAGAGCTTCAAGACACACTGTGTTTGCCTATGGTTCACAACTGCCAATGCAGTTTTGAACCACAAATTCTTCCTATCATCTTGCTTAATTATAACACATTCTTCTAAAGTTAACTTATGTTTGAAAACCAAGTTCATAAAATCCCTCAGTTCTACATTCAAAGGAAGTGTTAAATTAAAATAAACTAAGTACGGGCCTAAAAAAACGGGAATTTAAAATGGGACATGAGGAGAATTTAGGCACCTCCAGCCAAAATAAGGACCCTCAAGGCCCCTGTCTCATCCTGGAGATGTCTATTCTCTGAAGACAATACAGTCTTTGATGGTAAGATAGGTCATCTGCATAGCCAGAGTTTACCTACCTGGTCAGGACTGAAAATCTCACTGCACATCTTATGTCTAAGCCTGACTGGGATCTAGAAATGAAGCCCACCCCTGCATAGGTGATCTGAGGAGTTTGATCCAACAGGTGTTCTCAAAGACTGCTAAGCCAGCGTAATAAACACCAACCAGGTGGGTTTCCTACAAAATTCTTCAGGTACTACTTCTCTCTAAAATGGTACATGAATAGCAGACATTCCTAGCCTAGCAGCAGGACTACTCATCCCAGAAACAAAATCCCCAGGTTCAACTCCTTCTTCAGTCTAGGACTCAAAGCAATGTCTTTTAGCAGAATGTTCTGACCAACAGGCTACAGGCTGCATTAAATGATGGGACAAGGATAGGGATATATTGAAGCACTCCTGTTGAAGACATATCATTGTACAGAAAATAATTCAAGGTTCATTGGGCCAGAGAAAGAACACAAGAGGGAGCAAGAGTCTGTAGCCTAGTGATTTGGGCACTCAGCTGGGAAAAGGAGTTCTGGGTTCCTGGCCTTTGCTCCATAGAAGGTTCACACAGTTTATTGAACAGACTTTCCATAGTGTAAGCCCTAGGTTGAATCTGGCTACATTTTCCTTCTTGATCCAAGTCTATAAATTTTGTGTAATCACATTCATCAGTTTGAATTTTTCAAACATCAACATGTCTTTTGTATGATTTTAATGCTAAATTTTAAATAGAGAACATCAATAACAGAAGTGTGACAAAAACCTAAAGCTTATTTTGTATCAATTTTGCTTTGTCAGTATATAAAATACAAGAACTTACTTGAGGGCAAGTTAAAAATAACATTAAAATACAAATACATTTATTTACCCATGTCAATAATGTTGCTTTGAATTGCTAAATTGGAATTTACTTTTTCATCTCAACTTTCTCAGGATGTGGTAAGATTTTTGAGAAGTTATAACAATAGCAATAGACTTCCAATATCTTAATTCTGCTTAGTTTCAGTTTCTGATTCTTACTTAATAGTATTTTAATTTGCTGGCTCTCATTCACTGGTACAACAGTGCAATGTCATGCAGGAGACTGTTTAAATCGAAGCAAGTTTACCCTGAAATTCCCACTCCAACAATTTCATGGACATATTTCTGTTTTTGCTAAACATTCTTTTCATAATAGCTTCATTTTGGGCCTAAGTCTACGTAACAGAGTCCCTTTAAATAATATTCCATGCCTCGAAACATATTACAAAAACTTGTATCAAGGCAAGTTATGCAACAGCTCTCTATGGTTTTAGCATATTTATTCTGTCACGCCATATGTGAGACTGCAGCCTCCACAACAAAACCTTTACACACTGAAGTCATTATCTCTGTGAAGTCTGCAACTGGCATTTAAAACTTATTGATGGCCTGGGTATTGGTGGCTCAGTAGGCAGCACTCTTGCCGGAGGCCCAGGAGGTCAGAGGTTCGCATTCTGCTCAAAGAACAAGTTGGACATATTCCAGGATTGTGTGTGGGCTGTGCTAGTCTCCTAAAGGGGCAGTCCTTAGGACAGTAAGCGAAACCTTTTCTGTTTTGTGGATATCAAAGTTCTCTTGGAAATGGAAGAGGAAGAGTAAGAAATAAGTTTAACTTGCCTGAAGCAAATGAATGAAAATGAGCATACTTGCTGGGGACCTGGGTTTAGTTGCGTGTGCTAAATACAGAATGTTACAACTACAGTACACTGAATAGTCTTAAACAAGCTGCTTTGGTCTTCATGGTCAGCACACGTTCAAGTGACAGGTACAGTCTGCCAGGCATGCTCAGTATTAGCTAACCTCCTTAATAGCAGAATGACTTTGGATTAAATTTCACACCATGGAACTATGAAAAATGCATGTGTAGTTTTGGCAAGTGAGGAGTCTAAACAAAAATCCATGAAACTTCAGAGCATACTACATAATTACTGAAAGAAATCTTCAGCTAAATATCCAAGTCAATACTAGCAACATATATAGAGAATAATATAAATGGAGATTCAACCTGCTCTGGTGTTAAACTTTGATACTTGAATATCCCAGATGTCTCCCTCCTCCTCTTCTTCTTTATAGACAGGTAAAGATGGATCTCTTGAAGGAACTGGGGATCACACTCTAGGCAAAGGTTGGACAGGTGATCAATGTACAGCATGAGATTTTGCCGTGGCTATGTGCCTCCAACAGTGACTGGATCATCTGGTTTAGAAAAACAATTCAAAATTGTAATATTTTCTAAAGAACTTATTTAGGGAAAAATTAGAAAAAGGGAGAACAAATAATTTTTATAACATGGAATGGATCACAAAACTTCTTCCCATAATTATATAGTTCATTTAAAAAAATCAATTTATTTCTACATTTAGTTCATTAATCTTTCAATTTCTTAAAAGTCACACTTTAGAGGATTGCATCCCATTTCTACTGACAGAATGAGTTCAGTAGTTACTGATGAGATATAAAGTTATTCTTATAAGTTTCAATTTCTTTTTTTGGTGTCTAACACAACCATACAAAGTGCAAGACCAGGCCTGGCCCTTTACTTAAACTGGCTTTGGAACAAGCTACTATTTATTAGCCAAATGGGATTCTACTCTGTAGTGCACTTCAGGAAGTATTCACATAGGTTAATGTTTGTTAATGAAGATTCATCTCCCCACATTCCCTTCATTGTCAATAGACTGAAAGAGCATTTTCTAAAGGACCATTCAGAGAACCTGAAGTGACACTTTTTCTTCTAGCATTTAGGAACACCATCGTTTATCTACTTAAGTTGTAAATAGTGCTGTATTGCCTTTTTTTTTTTTTTACCATCACAGAAAAACAAATGCCCTCCTTCACAGAAATATCCATTAGTATAATGGACCTTTAGGTTTAAGTTTGGTGAAATCAACCTGTATTTAAGCAACAGAGATCATGAATTACAAGCATCATGACATCTTTAGGCTATCACACAATTAATGTGTAAGCAATGAGTTTCTTCAACAAAACACGTTAAAGACAGCATTATTTCTAGTTTAGAAACAGAGGAACTCATAACATAATCCCAATGCAAATTTGCAAAGAATTATGAGTTAATTTTGTCTCTAAAATATGAAAAGAAGCTATTTCAAAAAATGAAGGATGTCCTCTTAACCTGTGACAACAAACTTGTTTGGTTTTTTCTCTTCTCAGTAAGAAAGCAATTAGGTTTTTTTCCAATAAAAATATCCTTGTCCATATATAAACACTCTTGGTAATCATGTAATTACTTTACCCAATCAGATTAAATTGCTGTCAGTTGAGTTCCCACTGTTGATTAACTTTCGTGTACTCTAAACTTAAATGAAGTCTTTGGTAAAGTCACTTAGTCATTTACAAAGCTGTCTCTGATTCCAAAAAGTATAACAGCAATATATTATTTGCTATAATCATCAAATATCCACGGTCAAGGATAGATCACAGTGGACCCCTTTTTTAAAACCCAAAGAAACACAGAATTAAACTATGTTGCTTATTTTTGTGTTTCTTGCTATGACTTCTAAATGTAATAGTAACCTTTGACCCCCACACATTAAACACCATAATTATGTAATTAAAACTAATTATGCAATTTAACATACATATTTTTGTCCTACAACAGGCAGGTCAATTACCTCACTCATTGACCTTGGAAGCTTTCACAGTTTAAACAAAACAATGAGGCTTTCAATTAATTTTAAAGTACAAACAGAGAAGGAGCAGCAGAACCACAAGTCTTTAAGCTGATGTTGCATAGATGGATCACTTACAGATCTCTTCATTTTCTATTATACAGATTAAATCCCCTGATAAAAATTTCTAAATGTCTTTCTTTCTTATATGTTTCTATCATTAGAAATGCTAACACATTTGTGAACAAATTATATATACACATTGCCAAATGCAAGGAAGAAAGGAGGCCATATAATACTTTTTTCTTTGTCCCACTTCTTTTCTTCCTTTGTTTCCTCCCATAGTTCTCTACTTCCCTCCCTGTTTCACCTTCACTTTCTGAAGTCTTTTCCTTTCCCCTTTTTACTTGTTATCTTCTCTGTTCCATTCCTAACTATAAAATGTGATATCAGTTTATATATTATCAAACTGCTGTAGTCATTGTCTTTTCCAGCTTCCACTTGCATGCCTATGCCCATTTACAGGATGGTGTTTTTCATCAGGTCCTGGCACCAGTGGCTCCTGACGATGACAAACCAGCACACTGTGGGAACTCTGGACTGTAGAAAGCTACAGCAAAAACAAACATGCTACATGCTCTAAAAAACATTCTAAATTTTCCAGTGTGGGAAGTGAGAGATACTATGAAATTGTTGAAATACATTTCACCTGGATAATATGTTTATTCTCTTTATACACTTAGGTAAGCTATATTGCACTGAAAATTTTTTAAATTGTACAACACTCATGCAATATGACATCATGTCCAAGGAACCTTCTTTTCATAGTGTAAAATTAGCATCATAATTCAATCATTTTTTTATTTTTTAGTAAACTCCAGTTACTAAAGAACAAATCTTAAAACAAGTATAAGCCTATGAGCTCTACATTAAAAAGGCTTGCATTCTGCTATCCTGTTTTTTCAATTGCTATCTTAGCCACAGATAGTTCCACTAAAGTTAATAGGCTTAGCTGTGAAGTGACAGACAGTGTATATATAGGTATACCAATCAAGCTTTAAGTTATTTTCGCTAAACCTTGTTTTACATGGGGATCAGAAAATAGCTACTGGCAAAATACATATGCAAATCTTTGCCCACTTCTTGAAAGTAAGGCAAAAATATCTACAGCACACTTTGTGTTTTGGTGTCATTTCTAACACCATTTTTGGCATCCTTTTGGTTCTCTGCTTTAATTAGACCTGACTTGCACAAGCAGCTCAAAAAGATATCAGTAAACCTTTGACATAATGAAAAAAGTAGCACTGAACTCTGAACGAGGAGTTACAACAGGAAATAAACAATTTAAAATGGTCGCAGGCCTTATTGCAACATTAAACCTCAAATTGGATCTGATTTATATAAAGTAAACCAATATATTGAGATAGTGCCTCAAGCTGCTGGACAATAGTTTGAAGGAAAATAATATAGTGCATGTGTAGAAATTCTATCCAAGGGAGCAGAGGAGATTATTCCTTATACTCTCATTTAACAAAAAGGTTCCTTCTGTTTTGAACAGAGTATTACAATTCTAATTCAGCTCATAGAGCATCCCAAACAGAGCAGCAAAAGAATGTGTGAAGGAGTCCAAATATGGTGCTATTGAAACAGAGCAGATTAGAGGAATTGGGACAGAATCCTACAAGTGGCTAAATAGCAGTGGGAGATCAGCTTCACAAACAGCAGGACGCTGTTCTTTCCAGACGTGAGTGGCAAAACAATTAAGATTTTAGCTGATAAATGTATGTATTAGGAAAAGGCCTTGCTGTAGAACTTTCATACTCAACTAACATTTAGGTAAATTCTGTAGACCTAATTTACACTGGAGAGCATTTTGTCTTATATGAACATGTCATGTTAATCTTGTAAAACAGAATCCTTTATAACATAAAGACAATAATTTTTAAAGGCCTAAATGCAGAAAACACAAGAGCATTTGCTTGATGATTCAGTAAATGGATAAAGCTAAAAGCTTTTGTAGTTTGACACAGCTTCAATTCTGTCCTGAGCAATTCTATGTATACTAGGTTAAATATAGATTAAAATATTAGCTACAAATATCTAGGATATCAAGAATGAATAAGTATCTGAACCTATGTAACCCCATTGATTATTCATAAATTCCGTACTATAGCAGTAGTATTGGAGAGATTTTAAGGTTCTGAAGGGAACAGATGCATTTGTAAAGTGACTTAGTGAGATATCAAAATAAGATGCACTTAATTAGAAAAGGTTCAATAGATCATTTTGATTTCCAAATTTGATGGGATTTTATAAAATCACACTTTAATTCTAAACATCCATTTTTCACTCACACTATTTTCAAAATATTCTTTAAAAGCTGAGATTCTACTTACTTTCCATCTTACGCTATAAGCAAACAGAAGAAAATTTATTCAGTTGCTTTTTGGCTAGGGAAGTGCAAAACATTATGTGTAAAACATTAACCTGTCTTCCCCAGAGTCTTCCCTGTCCTCCACAAAATATCCTTTTGGACTAATTACTTTAGAAAGTTTGAAATAAATTATAATTCTTAGGTCAAGAACAGATTCCAGCCCGGAGTAGAGGCCACACTTCCCCTTGACTCAGAATATTGAGAGATGAGAATTTCTGAGTGGTAGGGTAACTGCAGGAGGCCTGGTAGAGAGATAAAGAACATTGGAGCACACCACATGTCCATCCCCTGCAGCACACTTTCTCCTGTGGCGGCTCCTGGTACAGTCTTCCAGCTTAAGCTACCTTCAAAGCATAGATTTTACACATTGCAAACAGTATGTCAGCATTTAATAGCCTCTGATGGATTTTTTTTTTTTTTCCCCCCATGTATTAATCAAATCTCTTTTTGAACCATTAAAAACTTTGGCACTCATAGCATCATGTAGCAAGAAGTTCCACAGAAGAACTGCAGTTTATAGGAAGAAATACACCATCCTTCCCCCACCCACCTCATTTTCTTTTTTTATAAACTTCCAACTGGTAATTTTATTTGATATTCAGATTGATTATAATATAAGGGATAGTAAGTAGCTGTTTTGAATTCAGTTCTTCATCAGAGATGGCTTTATACTTTCTGGAAACTTACAAGCATTTGATTAAACCTGATCAGTTTTACAGTTATCAATTATCCAGTTCACTGTTTTAATTCAGAAATCAGCTTAAGAGGCACTTTTGCCCTTGAGAACATAAGCCATAGTGATTAAAGAAGCAGGATAGAGAAAAGGCCAACCAGAAGCACAAAGGCATAGTTTCCCTGCCATGGCTTGGCTTGGGCAACCACATAAGAACATCATGACGTTTGCAGAAGACACCTGAAGACTCTATTCCCTGAGTCCATTCTCAGCACATGACCAGAAGTTCACCTATCATCTGATCACAAAACAGGCACTTCACATCACATGATTGAGTGAGGGAACAAGACAGACGGTGTCTGTATTTTGAGAATTTGATGGACATGTAAATACATCTATGGTCATTCCTTCTGGAGAAAGACCAGATTACAGAGCAGATCAAGTTCTTTCTAGCTGGCTC